TTAAGTTTAGGCAATTTTAGATGTGTTCAAATGCTGGTTCGTGTAAAAGTGTACGTAGTAAGACAGTAGTTTCTACTTTCTATTGTTTGTTCCTAATTCGTTTATCAGCTACCTACTTATAATACAGTGGATGTCCTGAAGAATGTCATTACAACATTATTTCAATTCGAGTTCAGAAATAATTCAGAATGAAAATATGGCCGAAGGGCGAATTGTAGGTATAATGAAAAGATTTGAAAAATAATTGTCAATATATTTACCTATAAATTTAAATTATAACTTTTCTTTCTAAATGTGTTCAGATTCTGGATGTCGTTAGATCTTCAACTGGTATTGTCCATTACTATCGTTAAAGTGCTGTTTGAATTCAACTACCTACTATAAATAAGTAAGAAAATAAATATTCTATACATTTATTTTAATTCAATGATATTTTATTTTTGTCTGGACGCACGATGCGTCTGCCATATAATATCTTATACAGTTATATCCTATCATGGTCGAGCGTCTAGACACAGTGCATAATATTTTACTTACAATAAAAATATATACCTACCCCATATTTAAATAATATTGTGATCGTGATGTAAAGCTACATAATAAGGTTGTTGTACATTTTTTGGGAAAGATTATCATATTTATACTTTTTGAAAAATATCCTTGTTCCGATAAAATTGAAGAATACCAGCATAGGCAATATGAAAAAAAAGTTTAAATAAAGATTAAATAATTACTTTTTTTCCAAAAAAAAAATAAAAATACAGTTTAATTTTTAAAGATTTGTTAATATTTTAGGAGAGAATTGAATAATTTATTTTGAGGGGGCTTAGCCCCCCAGCCACCCTAGTTTCTCTTATGGCTTGTGATTGTAAGTCATTTTATTGTGTTATAATTGTATCTAGTTGGGTAGAACAAAAAATATATAATAACAAGTAGGTATATTATATTATATCTATATGCATATAGGTATAGGTAATCGGGCAAATAGGTAATGGACACGTAATGTTTATCATTGATGACCATTACCCATTTGCCCAATTACCTATTAGAAAAGTCACCTGTAATGGATGGTGTTGAATTTGAATTCAATGATAATATAATATCGTTGTACACAAAAAAAAAAATTTAAATTTAAAAAAAATTTTAAAAAACACACTTTTCTAAAAAAACAATACAAAAAAATAATGAAAAATTAACTGATGAAACATTTAAAAGTGTGTGGTGCATCATACAAAACATTTAAAGCCGACCTAAGTCTCACATACACTTCTATGTTCAAATATTTGACAGGATATCCTGTTTATAAGATAGTGACTGGGAGTATATTTCAAGTGTAAGAGCACCACACACTTTTAAATTTTTCTTCAGTTAATTTTTCATTATTTTTTTGTATTGTTTTTTTAGAAAAGTGTGTTTTTAAAAAAAAATTTTTTATTTTTTCCTCGGAGATGACTTTGCACACCCGTCGTCGCTGACCTGGAGGTCCGGGTCCCAAAATGACTACGGATTATTGTATTGTCATCCAAGACCGAGGTCTATACCAATTTTCAGAATTTTTCATCGTCAAAAAGTGCCTCAAATCGAGCGCGCAAGATTTGATTACAGACAAACAGACGTGAAAGCGAACTTAAGAAAAGTGTGTAAATACTAAATAGGATTCTGAGCAGAGACGATGTGTCAGCCAACGATATCTTATATTATACATTTATACCTATTTATTGTACCATTATAGTATTATACCTACTATACGGTCTACGGAACCTAGCCATTGAGTTGAATTAATTCCTATATTTGCATAAAACAATGTATAATAGTATAATACAACAAGTATTATTAATAATACTAATATTTCAACAAAATAAGTTATAATATATTATAAATATTATATTATATAATTATATAAAATATAATGTGTCATCAAATTTGAACTTAAGAGATATATGTAACAAAACACTGTGTTCATAAATTTCGATTTTTTCGGTGAACGTATAAACTACTTATGGTATACCTTGTTTTTCTAAGCTACGAAAATTGAATATTAGCACAAAATAATTTACGAATTTTCGAGAATTTGATTAGGTAATTTTTTCTACATTTCAAATATAATTGATTATAAAAACAATCATGATTATGTAACTTCAATATTTTTTAAGTGTTAATAAAATCACTGATAAGGAACGCTGCGTATTACATCTTCAAGTTGTATAACGGAACGAAAAAAAATTTATTGAAATTTATAGAAAACAACTAAAAAATTGAAAATTTTTATAAATAACACAAAACGAGTCAAAATAGTTAAAAAAATCTTATCATGTATAAAAAATAAATAATTTTTTGAATAATTAAAACAAACTAAGGAAATCGTTGGATGAGAATCATTAATTTATGGCAGAAAATCCAAATCAAAAAAATCTAAATAACTTCAAATGTTCTTAAAAATTGGTAAACGGACACTTTGTACTATCTATTGTTTGAGTTGCACACCGCAGACACTTTGTACGGTGAAAATAAATTGATAAAAATCAATTGCGGACACTTTGTACGATATAAATAAACCGGGAATTAATAAAGTCGGGAGATCAGATAAAGTTGAATTGCTCAAAACTTTAAATCGTGAATCGTGATCGCAATCAGTATGAGACATGAGTTTGGCGACACAATACACTCCACACACAACCCATACTCTCTGTACAATATACAATATGAACCACAACCAAACAACAAAGTTAAATCCGTATTACGAGTGTTTTGCGATCTTTGCAATTGGACGAATGTGCTAGTCATTTAAACAAAAATATAAGAAAAAAAACCAAAATACACAAAAAACAATCCACGAAGCCTGTACACATCACGAAAATAAAATAATTACAGATAGGTACAAAATTACTTGAAATAATTTGCCATACTTTTAATTTTTAAATATTCTATTAACTATTATTATTATTATTATTTTTAAATTTATATATTATGATGTATGACTTATAATTGACAGTGCATTTTTTTAAAAATTCATGAAGCTGTATAGATACTACAAATTTACTATCATAACTATTATTATTATTGTTATTATTATTATTTATTTCTGTTAACTACATGGGTTTTGTAATAACAAATTATGTGATAATGTGATATCGGTACTATAAATACGCACCTGTCTCTTTTTTTTTTCATTTGAAAAATACACTCTAATATCTAGGTACCTCAAATAGTACAAACTGACCTCCATACTGTGTGTTGTTACTACCTAAAATAGTACAAACTGTCAGCGGTTTTAATTTTTTCTAGTTGACCGTACAACGTGTCCTACAACCATTTTAAATAATAACTGTTCGAAACATATCATAAAATAAGCATAACACCTGTTTCGAGGAAATATCTAGCCTAAAATGGAAAAAAAATATGGAATAAATGAGAAAGTAACGAAATTCTTAAATTAAATAATATTAAAATAAATTGAATAATACAGAGACGATGCACAGCGAAAAATTTTCATTGAAACCTACAACTTACTAAATTATCATTTATTTTCTTTGTCTAGCACTTCACAAAGTTATAAAAGTGTGAAATTTCTTCCTAGAATCCCACGTTATCTCTAAATCCAAATTATTTTAAACTAAGATCACTTTTATATATGTAATAAATCTCTACAAATATTTATTGCAACTATTAGTACCACACGATTCATGATGACAAAGATGTGCATAAATTTCCACACCACCATTTGCTTGTTAAACGTAAGACATTATATCGTCCATGTTGTTTAAACGCAAGAGGTATTATACGTGGCGCGTTTTTTTTATTGTGGTGTCCCCGGTAGGCATAGTCCACATCTTACGAAAGTCTTTTACAGTAAGTTGTATGGGTGAAATTAATGATTTTATAATAAATAGCTTGTCTGTGAAATATTAATCACCTAATGGGAATATCTAGCCTCTAATGGAAAATGTATGAATTATCACCCGAATCACACGTTGTCAATGAACCACACTTCTTTAGAGCACCTAGCGTCGTCATTGAACCCCACACGTCGTCAAGGCACCATACGTCGTCAGCGAACCGAACGTCCTGAGAGCAACGGCACGTCGTCAGCGATCCGCACGTCGTCAGCGAACCGCCAGTTACGCAGCGAACCGCATGTCGTCAGCGAACCGCACGAAGTCGGTTGCAGCGCACCGTGTGTCGAATCCCGGATTATGGGGGCGGGGTCGAGGGGGGCACGGTCTCAGGGCCCATTGGTTTGGGGGCCCATCTGTTTCCACAATATATATTTCAAATATAGTTTTCAAAAAAAAAAATTATTGAAGTAGGTAAGTATAGTAGGTAAATTATTATTAATAATAAAATTATAAAATAAAATTGTTCTCCAATTTATACCACGGAATATTACTATAAATAATGAATTATAATGTTTGTCAACAAATATGTTTTTTTTTTCGAGCATTTTAGATTACCGATTTAACTATTTAAGTATACAAAAAGGTAGTTATAAGAAAAAAATATTTAGCTGTTATAAATTAGGTATTTCAGTTAGAAGTATTAATGCATATTAAACTAAACTTTAGAGAATCATAGTCTAAAATACCCTAACGAACCAAAATTTATCATTTTACTGTCAAAATATTCAGAAAAAAGTTTTACCAGAATCCATCGAAAAATATAGTGGTTACCATTTGAAAAAAATAAAGACGATTTTATTATTGATACCAACTGCGTGTTTATAAATGTTGAAATGTTGTGAAAAAAATTGCTTGTTAAGATTAATAAAGTAACACTCTTTTTTGTTTTAAGGAAATTCCATATCATTGATTCATAATTGTTAAAAAAAAACACGTTCAATGACATATGATAAACCCTGTATATTTGTTGTATAGTAAAAAATTATACAGTAATATAAATTCGTTAATATGTAATGATACAATTATTTTTAATTTAAAGTTGAAAGGGGGCCCACTAAGTGTATAGGTGTCCCGGGGCCCAATCGATCCTTAATCCGGGCTTGCATGCGTCGTTGGCAAACCACACGTTACGTCAACGAACCGCACGTCGTCAGCGAACCACACGTCGTCAGCGCACCGCACGTCGTCAGCGAACCGCACGTCGTCAGCGAACCGCCCGTTAACACAGAGAACGGCACGTCGTCAGCGAACCGCACGTACGTCAACGACGTGCACGTCGTAACAAACCACACGTGCGTCAAAGAACTACACTTCGTTATCAAACCGCTCATCAGGACCGCTAGGATGCCATCGGCACAATCCCAATATTTACATGGAAATTATCGAATATTTTATGGGAAATGTATGCTTTTCTATGAAACATCAAACCACAAACGGAAAATACATAAACGAAATAGTCGGGGAATGTCAAAGCGGTTTTAGAAAACGTAGATCGACATTGGACCATATTGTTACACTGAGACAGATAATGGCTAAATTTTATAAATTTGATAAAGGACTGCAACTGAAAACTGAAATTTGATTAAGAATCTTTATAGACTATAAAAAGCTTATGACTGAATTGACAAACTATGAGAAGCACTGGAAGAACTAGGCATTCCTAACAAGTAAGTAAGTCTTATAAAAGGAATAAAAGGATGTAACAATAAAAATGTACGCGTAGTTCGCCTCCTGCAGGAAATTTCTGAAACCTTTGAGGTAAAGTCAGGTCTTCTACAATGTTAATGATTTATCATCCACTCTACTGAATCAACCATTAAAATATTAAATGATAGAAGTGTTTGATGGTTGAAAAATGGAAATATTATGTAGTGAACGAGTAATATTGGCGTAAGCCAGATGACGAATTGAAGTCAAAAATACTTGTCCAGACTCTTAGCAAGTAAAATTATGGGGCTAAGTAATACAGGGCTACGTGTAAATGGGGAAAAGACGAAATATTTAATGGTAGCAAGAAGAAACTCAAACATAGACCATAATATTTTAACAGTAAATGATTAAAATTTCAAGAAAGTGGAAGTATTTAAGTACCTAAGCATTATCATAAATAGCAACAAGGACAGGTACGAATAAATCAACTATCAAACAACATGCAGCCATCGGTGCTACTATAGCAAAATTAAACTTCTTAAATCAAAACTACTATCACAGAGTCACATAACTCAAAGACACTATTTTATCATAGCAATTTACGACCAATAACCACTTATACGATCGAAACATGATCACTGTACAAGGGAGACAACCAACGGCGAATGACCTTCGAAAGAAAGGTACTGAGAAGTATATACGGTCCAAAGTTCAACGCAGAATTTCAAATTTATGAAAGCTGATTAAATATACATTCATTGATTAAACCATTATCACACATTTTCAATTTAGGTATAATAACATCTACTATTCCGGAATGCTTTAAAATTTCAGTAATTACACCAATACACAAAAAAAGGTAACAAATCTATTATTGAAAATTATCGCCCAATCTTACAAATATAAAATATTGCCAAATCTATTGAAAAAATTATTAAAAAAGAATTAGTCCATTACCTTGAAAGTAATAATCTCTTCTATCATGTACTCAATTCGGGTTTAGACCAGGTAAAAGTACCGAACAAGAAATTGCAACAGTATCAAGCTATATTTATAATTCTTTCGAAAATAAAAAAAAATGTGCAACTGTTTACTTGGATCTAGCAAAATCATTTGATACTATAGAATATAGATCATAAAATAATACTACAAAATGTTAACACACTTGGTATCAATGGAAAGGCTCAGAATTTATTAAATTCATACTTAAAAAATATAAAACAACACGTTCGAATAAACAATGAATTAAGCGAAGAAACTTCAATAACATGTGGTGTACCTCAAGGGACAACTCTATCTCGCCTACACTGTTTAATATACATATAAACCAAATTAATAACTTGAATACACACTGAAAACTATTTAGTTTGTTACGCAAATGATACAGTACTAATCGTTGAAGGCCAATCCTTGGATGAAGTATTTGCTAGTGTTCAATCCGACATGAGTAAATTACAAAAATGGCTCAGTGAAAATAATTTTTTCCTAAACTTAGAAAAAATCTTCATATAACATTATTACCACACTATATAGTTAATTCGAATCAACCAAATAAAACAAATCTATGTATACATGAGAATGACTGTTTAAATCAAAATATATGTACATGCCAAACATTTGTAAAAATAGTTTTAAAAACTGTAAATACTTAGGTATAGAAATGTGTCATAATCTATGGAATGACCAGATAAAATGTTTAACCAATAAATTAAGAAAACATATGTATGCACTTAAAAAATTAACAGATATTCTAGAACTTAAGACGATTAGAGTAGTGTACCTATCAAGCATTAATAGAATCCATAATTAATTATAGTATTTCTATATAGGGAGTTACGTATGTAAATATTTAATTTATAAGAACTATTTAATGTATTTATATATCAAATTGTGAACTCATGGACCCCCACACGTACATGTTCAGTTGGGCCCATTATCATCTTGAAGAATAAATAAAAATTAAATTAAAAAAAAAAATTCCTGCGAGTAGTAATAGAAATATTAAAAAAACAAAATTATATGAAAAATAAATGAAAAAAATATGAAAATAATATATTTTGATTACAAATAAAAAAAAATTGATCTCTATTAGCATTTTTAATGCAAACGTGTTAATTTTAAATATCTATTCATAAATAAATAAATTAATATTCTGAAAGGAAAAATGATTATAATTGTAATTTGTGCAATTTGTAAATTTTAATGACTTTTTTGTAAGTACCAGATTGTAATAATCATAATGGCTTTCTAAGCTAGGAAGCTGTTCTAAAATAGTTCAAACAACATTTTTAAACCCACTAGTCATATTACATAATTTAAGTAACATCAGAAAATTATGATGAGACAGAAGGTCCTAAGCCTTATAAGGTTAAGGAAAATATTATTTGAGTATAATAATTTTCCACCAACAGTAATGACCCATTCGAAAATTTGGAAGTACGCAGATTATGTACATATATAAATTTCTTTGAAAAAAGGTTTCTATTGTTCGTAAATTGTGAACAAATGAGTTGTAAAAAGAGTAAATGTGCGCAAATCAATTGTAGCCCTCAATTGCTCTCCCCCCTAAATGACTAAATGTGGCCCTGTATACTATTACAATAAATACAAAAAATACTTTATGTTTATTAAACAGGTGTGCGAAAATAATATTGTATATATGCTATATTCTATTTACAAAATCTATTTAATATTATCTCACTTACTTGGATTAGGTGCCTAGCTAGTAGTTTACCTTGGCTGATGTGTCCATACTCCTTGACTTACGTCCAGTGTCGAGTGATATCTAGATACAAATTAATAACATATATTTTATATAGATTAATAAACAAACCACTTTCTAATTGATGTATAAGATTTAAATAATGAAAATCTTCAAAAATATCCAGATTAATCTCATTGTGTAATGCACTTGTATTTTTTTCAATGATCATTTACTAGTTCAGTCATATTTTACATCAAATATAATATTACCACAGTAGTTGCTATCAATATATTACAGGTATATGAGTAATAATTTATAATAACATTAATATCTGGGCTGTATCACAATAATCACTTGAAGTATTAACATCCAGAATAAACCGTTTAGGAGATGAGACACATGAAATGTTACAAAAGAATTGCAAGTCAAAAAATTAAACAAGCATGAATCATCAGAATATTTTTGTTCAACAGTCTTATAAGTTTGATAAGTAAATACGACGGGGTATGATTCTGAGCTAAGACGGTCTGTCAGCTAATAATATTATTAAGGGTACTTATATTTGTTGATTTTATTCAAGTGATTAAAGTACCTAATTTATTTTACTAGGTATAAGGCATTACTGAATTAGTAAAATAACAGGTTAAATTCATTTTTTTTTTTTTTTTTTTTTTTTTTTCCCCACACAAAATGTCCGATATCTCGGACTCCACCTGGATCGTCGATTGACCTGGGCCCACCACATCCATACCAAACGTATTGCTTTGAATAACCGATCCCGTCAGCTACGTCTTCTCCTTACATCTAAACACATCAATCTGAACAACAAAATACTTATATATAAATTACTACTAAAGCCCGTATGGTCATATGGTATACAACTTTGGGGTTCAGCCAAACCATCTAATATAAAAAAAATTCAAATATTTCAATCTAAATGCCTTCGACAAATTACCAAAGCCCCTTTCTACGTCTCAAACGATACACTCCATAAGGACCTCTCTATTCCAACAGTTCAACTCGTAGCCAAAACTCTGTATAAACGATTCCACTCAAATCTCTCCAACCACCGCAATCCTCTAATCTCAAACTTATCTACCCTCAGCATTCCAGGTGACCCTGGAAGACGTTTAAAACGAAAATGGTGTCGGGACCTCTTGACTGAATAAAACCTATCCACAACTCCAAGAAGTACCATCACTGGATGGTTTCTTCGCTCAAATTATCTGTCTTTCTCTCTTTATTTGTATTTTTATTTTTATTTTATTAATCTACAACACTTACACTTATTGTAAAAATAATATATTTACAGATTGTGTAATAAAACTAATTAAAAAACAAAAAAAAAAAAAAAAAAAAAAAAAAAATTCATTTTTGGCAAAAAAATTACATCGGGAAATGTCATTGTGTGCATAAAATATAATAATGTACCCTAATAGAGTTTCATATACCCACGAATAATATTTTTAAATTAGGTACAACTAAAATCGTAATTTTGGGTTTTAAAATGTAATTTTGTCTAAATTTTAACTTATATAACAGTTACTAAAATTACTAAAATTTAACTTGAAATACCCGTAAAAAACAACTATGTTTATATTTTTTTAGATTTTTTGGTTACAATATGAACTATTTATGAGAATCCTACAATGGAAGATACAAATCTGGATAAAAAAAAGTATTTTCTACATAATACTTGTCTAGATAAATTTAAATATTCTATCTTCATATCAATCTATATATACTTATTGAGTTAGGTATAATCTAATATAATAATAATATTATCTAGATATTATTTTTACTATATGAAATCGACACTGCTTACATCAAAATAATTTCTTACTATCATGCCAACTCAAAAACTTTTCGATATTATTGTTTAAAATGTATTAATCATTGAGGTACATACAACTATTTTGGATCCGTATTCCGATGAAAAAAAAATCGTTGATCGTGGAAAGCTGCTTCAATTGTTGATTTGTAGATCTTTGAATTTAAAACTATGTAATGGTTTTATATTGAAAATAAAATGAACAATTAATCTTTCACAAACTAAAAGAAGGAAAGTTAAAATCAATTTGGAATACTAAGAAATTACAAATTAAAACAGCAATCGGAAAAATATAAA